CCTGGAATTGATTTTGGAAGATAGAGAAGTTTTTGATGATGATGTAGAGGGAGAGGATTCAGAAGAAGAGGTTTCAGAGTTTGAGGATCACATTTCTGAAAATTCAGAGTCTGACAGTGTCTCTGAAGAAGATGATGAGATCGAGCATCAGCCAGTTCCAAAACAAAGACGAGCCACAGGACCAGGCCGTCAGTCGCCATCCACAGGACCAAGCCGTCAGCAGCCAGCCCCAGGCCCAGAACAAGCCAGTCAGCATGGAGCAAGTGAGGAAATATGGATGTCAAAAAATTCTGAAATTGAATGGTCTTCTCGCCCAAGAAAAGAGCCACCCCTCAAGGCTGCCAATGTGATAAGGATGCAACCAGGGCCAACATGGATGGCAGTTACTCACACACAGGACATCAAGTCTTCTTTTGAGCTATTCATCACAGATTCCATCCAGGAAATTATTCTTGACTGCACTAATTTAGAAGGAAGACGTGTCTTTGGAGAGAGATGGAAGGAAATGGACCAAACCCAATTACATGCATCAAGTGCAAAAAAGTATATCTGCAACACACACATGTGTTTTCCCCTGCCCAATGGACCAAACCCAATTACATGCTTACTTCGGAGTTCTCATCCTTGCTGGAGTTTTCAGGTCCAAAGGGGAATCCGCAGAATCCCTGTGGGATGCAGAAACTGGCAGAGAAATTTTCCGTGCAACAATGTCTCTGGAAAACTTTCACATCATTTCCAGGATTATCTGCTTTGACAACCGAGATGACAGACCAGCTCGACGACAGAGAGACAAACTAGCTGCCATCAGGACAGTGTGGGACAATTAATTGATTTTCTTTATTGTGTTTTAGATAATAAGTTATAAATGTGACCTAACAAAGGTAAAGGGCAAATATTAACCATATATATATTGTTTATACTGCTTGTAATTGGGATAAGGTAAACATCTGTTCAGTATTTTAACATAAGTGTTTGATTGTGAGGCATCAAAAGCCACAAAATGCAACGGGTCCATCAGACCCACATGCCAGCTGAAAGATAATCGCCCATGCAGTAATTATCCAATAGGAGGCTCCTACCTATTTGCTTCATTAAATCCAGGTGGCGACTTTTTTTTGGCCAGGCAGTGTAAATGACTTTAACAGTTTTCTGTAGAATATTTAGTGGAATGAAAAACATTAGCACTTCATAGATAACCCATATATATTTTGTCTGATAGGTGTAGAACAAAGCATTTTTTTAAATAAAAAATAATACATAAAAAAGTATTGCTTTAAAGCCTGATTCAGTTTGAATAGGATTTCCACATTTAAAGCTCCATTCTACATGGTAAGAAAACTTTTCATATTCTATTATCCATATCAAATAAATGTGAATGGTATATCCTTAAATTGAAACTGCCGTTAAAAAATGTAAAAGATAAAAATGCACTGTACTAGTTTTAGACTTTACGGCAGGTCCGTAAAGGCGTCACAGTTCTGGTTGTGAAAACAGTGGGTGGAGTTTCTGGTGGAAGTCTGCACTCTTACACTGTACAAGAACACAGAAAACGGCACACTGTCACGTTTACAGACACTCGTATTTTTAGCTGTAGCTAAATTAACAACGTGGATGTTTTAGATTTATTTTGATTAGGATTAGCTTTAAGGTCTTTAAGTCAAGGCGAAGTCAGCACCATCTCCAACACTACTACTGTCCTGTTAAGGCAGCAGCACAATGGAGTGGCTCCGAAATAAAGTCAGTTGGGTTTAAGTGGTTGCTTTTTTTTCAGTTGTCATTTCTGCTGGTGTTGACGTTTCCACAGCAGATCAGAACAGGTTGTCAGTGAACAACCTGGGGTCTGGCAGATCAGCAGGAGGGACCGCGGAGTAAACGTCAGTCAAAATGTCTCATAACAGCAACGGCGATGAGGTAAACATACATATAATATACTCAACGCGCGCGCGCGTGTGTGTGCATGTATGTGTACGTCTAGGCGTGTGTGTGTGTCTCACTAAGGCGGTCAGCGGGTGTTTCCTCCTTGTCACATGAATGGTCAGCAAAAGCAGTCATGATTAAAGTGAACTGTGAGTGTGAACTCTTATGTAAAGATACAGTCCAGGTGTAAATGGAAGAGATCGGTGCTGTAGAGTTGAATTAAATAAATTAACTACATTTCTTGTTCATTATGGTCAATATCAAATGAAGGTTCTTCTAGTAACAATTCTAAATGTGAATACACAGTTTTAACACACTTACCATGTCCTCTTTATTGCCGAGCAATAACAATGTATTATAGTGTATTTTGTCCTCTGTATGTAGTCATTGGTTTATTGGTTCTTTTTTACTCCTAAGTGAAGTAACAGACAGCACAGAGTCCAAGCTTTATATATGTTTTTTTATACTTGGTCATTTAAAGTCATTCACATTCTGCAGACATCAGTGATCAATCTAGGACTAAACTGTCATAAAGACAGTCATTACAGCCCTGCAAAAACTGGAGTTTTCCTTAACATTAAAAATGGCCTTACAGCAACACGGTGTCCCTGGGGTCATGGTTGTTTTATTTGAAAATACTATTTGTACACTAATGTACATAAACTAGTTCCTGTTTTTTTAAGAGAGAAAGTTTATGGGAAACTTGCTGATGTTTTTCAACACTAGCCCTGAAGCATTTCAAATAAAAAGAGGAAATCAAGATTTCTCACTCCTAACACTTGCAATAACACAGAAGACTGAATGGCACAAGTCCAACCCTTTGTATCATTTAACATTAATTTATTAGAAATGATCTTGGTGATCTTAGGACAACATTAAACCTTTAAAAACTTCAGAATAAGCAAAAATCTTAAAATGCTGACAAAATCTTAGGGAGTCAGGAGTCAGTAAGGAGTAATTTAAAACATAAAATAAAAGTGACCTTAAATTTACATTAAATGTGAAACAAAGTGAATGTTACTAGCAGTTTTCCTGAATTGCTAAAATTAAAATTCGAATTGCTAAAGAAGATAAAGTACTGTTCTATCTGCACCTAAACTTTTGATATTATATTTTTCGAATGCATTTGTTAGCCCAATGTTTATGTGCTGCATGACCCACATTTTTTAATTATAAATGCTAGTTAATTAGTGTATATAATATCTATTAGTGTATATATATATCAAAATTACAGTTTGATTATTTAAAGAAAAAGTATCAAATCACTTCAATAATGGGGTTAAAAAAAAGAAAATGTTTTTTTTTACAGTGTGACCTTGTGATGAACCAGAGTGCTGTGGACCAATGTGCTTTTGTGAAGAACACACCAGACTGTTCCATGGAGGGTGGCTTCATCAACTACCTTCAGCTGGTCTTCTGTCTGCTGCCTACCAACCTCATATCTCTCACCATCACTCTCTGTGTAAGATCACTCTCTGTGGCATTTTAAAGTAGCATCAAGTCTGTTAAGTCTGATTAATGTTTGAATGATGTCACAGTAGGAATTAATCATACAGTAGATATCAAACTTCTGACTCATAGCCACAGTTATTTTACTTTTTGCTCAATAATGACTGCTACTGAAGAAGCGTGACACGATGTAGATGTAGAAACAATGGCTTTTCTGTTTTCCAACAAAGCCTTCTTCATATAACTCTCATCCTATTTGTTGTGTGTGAAGCAGTTTTTATATGGTTTAAATGAATTAGGAAAAAACAAAGCATCTCAGATTTTCTTCTGCCTCTCTGTAGGTCATATGGCTGCTCATTTTATTTGTTTTACTTGGACTCTCTGCATCCAAGTTGTAAGTATCTCTTGTGTGTGTGTGTCTGTTATGTGTTCTCTTCAGTGTTTAATGGATGTACTGGAGTTAAACAGAAATAATTCTCCTCATTAGTTTCAGCTCTTAATTACAGTACAGGCTTCAAATGTGCAGACTACAATTTCATACTGTGTTTTTTGTTAATCAGACTTATAGACCTTTATAAAAGGTATTGATGTTGTTTACCCTCACAGAGTGGTGTGAAGAGAAGAGAAGAAAACAAACAAGAATCTTTTAACTGATTTTGACATGTATTTTAGACACCTCAAAATATTTAACATCCATCCATCCATCCATTTTCATCTGCTACCGGGTCGCGGTGGCAGCAGTCTCCACCCAAATCACATTGCACCGTACCAACCCCCCTGAACCTTCCTGCAGGTGGTGAGTCCACTGGAAGGTACCAACCGCCCTAATCGGGATTCAAACTTGCCCAGGAGGTGAACCCTGGGGTTCCACACCAATGACAGAGACATTGACTCTGGGCCAAAGCGCCACAAAATATTTAACATTTCTGAGAATTATTATGTGCACTTTATATCTAATAATCCCATCTTCGATCCAATTATCATGACTTTAATACATAATCAATACACATGATCTTTACACACGGGGCGGGAAAGAGATTTTGTTTCACCGGAGCACCTCAAATGTTAAATGTCATTCTTTGAGGAATGTAGGTACCAATTACCTTTTTTTACTGCTGACAACCTGACTGACACTACTGTCAAATGCATTTTGAGGAACTCTAGACTGATTACCATTGTTGTGGACAACTATACCAAAGTTCCTTTGGTGTAAAACACTGTATGTATAACAGCAAATTTGTTGATAACAGCTGTCATTTGTCCTTCTGTTCAAGTAATACAGAGCAAGAAAAATGTCATTGTTAGAAATGTCAGTTTATCTTGATTAATCATGATTAATTGGGAATCAACAGCTAATCTGTGCTTAACCGGAATCAATTACCATATGGTTGTAATTGATAGCAGAGTAGTTTGTATTGTATTGTATCTTAACTCTGTTGTTTTTCAGTACCTGAACTACACATATATTCATTATCTCTTCTTTTTTCACAGATGTGGACTTAATCCCCAGTTTGTCTCTGTTTTGTCTGCAGTTTCTGTCCCAACCTGTCGGCCATCTCCACCAGTCTGCACCTCACTCACAACGTGGCTGTATCCTTTCTCTCCCTTCTGTCTGCTTTATGCTCCTGGTTGTATTAGTTCCTCAGTCCCATCCCTCTGTGACGTTGTTACTACCTCTCTGTTTTTTTGTGATTTCTATTTTCTTTGACTAGTGCTCAGGGTGTCACTTTTCTGGCTCTTGGTAACGGAGCTCCTGATCTCTTCAGTGCTGTGGCAGCCTTCTCTCGCCCACACACTGCTGGACTTGCTGTGGGCGCCTTATTTGGTAGGTTTCTGACACTCACACATACACATGGGGACAGTAAATACATGAATCGTTTGAATATGTAAATCAGCATAAATAAATTATTCTTAATCTCTCGCCACAGGAGCGGGAATATTTGTTACAACTGTGGTTGCAGGCAGCGTTGCCCTGGTCAAACCTTTTGCTGTGGCCTCTCGTCCTTTTCTGCGTGACGTTGTCTTTTACATGGGTGCAGTGTTTTGGACTTTCCTCATGCTGTACAGAGGAACCACAACACTGGGAGAAACTCTGGGTATGAGGGAATGTCCTCCTTACTCTGTGACTACACAGTGGTTTATGTCACATTGTAAATTTAGTTATTGGTAGAGATAATGTAGAAAACTATCAGTGGAGTTTTTAAATTAGATGTGTTCTCATCACATGGCTGGACTTTCTGCTTTAGAATTTAAAAATGATTTCATGATTATGAGAATTTAAAAGACTGTTAATGCTATACCTGTTTTTAAACTGAATTAACTGTTGTACATGTGTCATGTGTCAGAGAAAAGTTCTCATAACTGATGCTTTAAACTGATGGTGCACTTATTAATTACAGCACAAGTGACTGACTGAGAAAGTCAAACTTTATTAAAATAGAAGTGAGAGTAGTGTTTTTACTAAACAAAACAGGAACATTAAAGAATAAGGAATGACGATTTGTTAAAGTAAGCAAAAAACTAACAAAGCAGTATAGAAAGAGTGAGCTAACAATGATCACAGTAGCATGTTGTATGTTTGACGTCACTGTCAGTATTTACACAAACCATGTCTTCTGTTTACTCACTTGTCTTCCAGGCTACCTGAGCCTGTATGTGGTCTATGTGTTGACTGTTATCATCAGTGCTTACATCTACAACAGGCAGAAGTATTCAGTGAGTGCAGATTCTCTAAATGAGCCTCAAATTCCAGGTCAGTCTTACCCCAAGTACAAATCTTTAAAAAAAAGAATTGACAAACATTAGTACTTATTTTGTTGTTCTTGTTACACAGACGTTCACTCCTCTGACTCGTCCGATGATGATGTTCCTTGTCTAAATCCTGAATCCATCCAGCAGGACTACGGTACTGTAGGACAGTTCATGTGCATGTGTAACAGGGTTTTTATTTTTATTATACACTCTGGACTTAAATCCTACATATGTGTCTTGTTGTTTTAGAATCAGAGTACAGGCCACTTCTTCCATACTCAGAGTCCACCAGTCACATCCTGCTGAGCTCCCTGAACCCAGTGGACAGCAGGAAGTGGAGGAGGAAGACGTGGAGGTGGAGAGTCTTCAAAATTTTAAAGGTTTGTGTAGTGTTATCTTGACTGGATGTCACGGTTTTTAAGGATAAGAATGGACAAAATGACAAATATTTAATTGAAAAATGTTTTCTTTACTGATAGTGTGTTAGCTGTTATTCTAGGATCTTTTAACACAGAGGTTTTAGACTGTATGCCCATCCTGGCAACACAACCTGGGATTAGGCAGAAGAATAGATTAGACATTTAAAATGTGAAAACATAATAAGCTCTTCAGTGCTGAGGTAGAGCAGACCATACTATAAAAATATAGACATTAAAATAAGATATTTTAGTAAAAATAGTATAATTACCAATGTAAAATTGACACAACACAAAAGCTGAACATATTACTAATACATAGTATTATTTTTCCCTCTATTGTATGCTGAACAGTATTTAACTAAAGTTCACAGGATTTGATGGCCTTCTTTTGTTTTTGACACAAATTACAACTTAAACCTTCAGGAAAAGACCTAAGTGTTCTTTCTTTCTTTCTTAAACAAACAATTCCATGTCTGCCAAAATTATTTAGTTTATTTTGTCTGTAAGTTTTGGTGCAGCATAAGGAGAAAATGTTAAAAAGTAACATCACATATCCCACCTTCCTCAGATTCCTCTGGAGGTTCTGCTGCTGCTCTGCATCCCTGTCGTAGACCCAGACAAAGAAGACAAGAACTGGAGACGTCCCTTAAACTGCCTCCACCTCATCACTGCTCCACTGGTGTCTGTGCTTACCTTCCAGTCGGGAGCATGTGAGTCTGCAATCCTGTAGCATACACACTGGAAAGAGAACATCTGATGTTATTACCCTACAGCCCCCTCATCACCTCCCTGTTTTATTCTTTTAACCAGATGGAACCTACATGATCCAAGGACAGCTTCCTCTCTGGCTCTTTACTCTGTTGTTGGGAGTATTTCTATCTACCATAGTTTTCTGCTCCACCACCAATGACTGCCCCCCTAAATATCACTCAGTAAGTAAACTGTACTGTACAGGTATTGGCTAGAAATGGCAGAAAATGAGGGTGGTTACAGGGATGGGTATGTTTTTAAAAAGAAAATACCATAAATATTTAGCTACAATTCCTGTAAGTAATGAAACTTACTAAGTGAGGTGGAGACTACGTTAATCCCAACAGTTGACATGTTGGTGTGAAGATTCGAGTCAACTTTTATTGCCCAACAACATGGTTTTGTCTTTTAACTAATTCCTCATGTTTTTGTTGTTCTGACCACCTGAACAAAGGTGAGCATTTAATTAAATAAACAAACATTAAAAAAATCTGAGCCGAATTATTGAAAAAGCTGCAGTAGTGGCAAGTACTGTATACACCACTGGTCAGTCATGTGTCTGCTGAAGACATTCACCATGACTTTGTAAATTAGAGCAGAGTAGAGCAACACACAGCATCAGTATAAAACAGTTGGACAAACTGTAAGAATACGTATTATTGTTGTTAGACATCCATAGTACTAAAAATGTCCAAGAATCTAAATGTTTTAAGATCAAAAGTTGTTAATAACTCACTAAAATACATGTCTCTCAGGCATCTCCAACAATGTTGACAAGTTTTGTGTCTTTGTCAAACTTGTTAAGCACTGAAATCAGAGCTAATGTACTGTTATTGTGACTTTGTCCTGTTTGTCTTTTCTCCAGCTCTTTGCTCTCTTAGGGTTCATAGTCAGTGCAGTGTTGATCAGTGCAATGGCCTCTGAAGTGGTCAGCCTTCTGCACATGCTTGGTGTGGTGCTGAGCCTCAGCAACACTGTGCTGGGCCTCACACTGTTGGCCTGGGGCAACAGCATAGGAGGTGATATTAATGCTTAACAACTCTCTGTCCTGACATAAATGTTTATATGCCACAAAGATGTATTTTGTAGATTTGTGACACTTTTTTTTTTTTTTTGACAGACTGTTTCTCTGACATCACGATTGCTCGGCAGGGTTACCCACGAATGGCTATATCTGCCTGCTTTGGAGGCATCATCTTCAGTATCCTTAATGCAGTGATTCCCAAACCGGGTCTCACCTCTATTAAGACTTCCATGTTGGATCGTGTTTTTATCTTAGTTGAGAATGTATAGGTATACCTAAAGGTAGACAGCATTAACAGTTCTCTAAATGCTTGATGAGAAGTGTTGGGTGAACATGCTTCATTCACACCATAAGGTCACCACCAGGTGCTGCTAAACCCTACACACTGTACCTTAACAATACATCCTTCAGACATGCTGTTTGGAGTGGGTTGGGGTTGTGTGGCGCAGATGGCTACAACCAAGTCTGATGTGCAGGTAAGTTTATCCTCAGAACCACTAATTAAAAATGTAAGAATGAAAAATGTAAGATTTAGAACAAATTGCCCATGATGCTCTTGTTTTCTTCCACAGATTGAACCTGAAGGTTTGCTGACATGGATCCTGACAGGATCTCTGGGTTTGTCTCTGGTTCTGTCCTTCGTCATTGTTCCACTCAGCAAGTTCCACCTGGGTAGACCCTATGGGATTTTCCTCATCGTGTTTTACTTCCTCTTCCTCCTCATTGCGCTGCTGACAGAGTTTGGCAAGATCCGAATTGTATGAGGCCGAAAACTAAAGCCAGGTTTGAAATAATGTAAAAACAGAGACACTGGAAATGACGCTGCACTAAGTGCAGATGAGTAACAACGTCTCCTGCACACCTTACATTAATATACACATTGATGCACTTTTCATAGAATAATTAACACTTGCCTCCTACATAGCTATGCTGTGTTTGGAATCCGAATAAAACTACAGTCTCTGCTCAGTCAGATCTGATGTTAGTCACAATGTCTCTTAGTTCAGCATCTTCTTTGAGCTGACACGAGTTGAGATGAGACTTTGACAAAATAAAATATTGTTTGTTTGATAAATATATCTATTAAACTTAAAATGTTAAAAATGTTAAAAAAAAATAAACATGTATTTATAAGCTCTGAAAACTGCATTTTGTCTGTGTAGGTTCTCAGTCAACCAAGTCATTTAATCCAAAAATACACGGCTCAAGAAAATAAAGGGAATACAATGTAACTCCAAGTCAATCACACTGATTGACAATCAATTTCACATGTTGTGAAAGTGGAATGGACAACAAGTGGAAATTATAGGCAATTAGCAAGAGACCCCCAATAAAGGGGTCACTTTTAAATGCTGGAGGTGCTTTTACTGTAGTGGTAGCATGAGACGTAGTCTACAACCCACACGTGGCTCGGGTAGTGCAGCTCATCCAGGATGGCACATCAATGCGAGCTGTGGCAGGAAGGTTTGCTGTGTCTGTTAGCATAGTGTCCAGAGCATGGAGGCACTACCAGGAGACAGGCCAGAACACCAGGAGATGTGGAGGAGGCCATAGGAGGGCAACAACCCCGCAGCAGGACCCCTACCTCTGCTTTTGTGCAAGGACGAATAGGAGGAGCACTGCCAGAGCCCTGCAAAATGACCTCCCGCAGGCCACAAATGTGAGGGCCCCACATCCACAGATGGGCGTTGTGCTTACAGCCCAACACGTTTGGCATTTGCCACAGAACAACCAAGATTGGCAAATTCACCACTGGTGCCCTGTGCTCTTCACAGATGAAAGCAGGTTCACACTGAGCACGTGACAGATGTGACAGAGTCTGGAGACACGGTGGAGAATGTTCTGCTGCCTGCAACATCCTCCAGCATGATCGGTGTAGGTGCAATGGGTTGAGTGCTGCTTAGGAGCACTCGGTGTTATTAATCAGTCTCATTAAAGTTATCTTTATTATGTTATCCTACTAATAGAGTAATAATGTATTACTTAAAGTATTACAAATAATCTACAATCGATAGTATTCAGAAACAATCAAATATCTGAAGGATTTTTCTGGAGTTCTTGACAAATTGGGTGGCTTCAATGAATAAAGTAACAACACAGACAAACACAGTTTACAAAAACAATCAAATTTATTAACACAACACTGTCAAGTTAATGATAGTAGTTGATACACAAACTCAACAAGGCACAATAGTGAGTGTGTGTTGTGTGTGTGTGTACACAACTGGTCGCGTAAGAGAAAGAGAAATGGTGAACTAATCTTTCACTATGAACGAATCTCTCTCTGTGAACTATTCTTTCGCTTCGTTCTCGCAGATTCGTTTCATTTGTTACGTGACAGAGAGCTCGGGTCTCTTTTGCTCTCATTCATATTCACATTGTGGTGTGTTTTTATTTCTTAACTTTTCACATGGTTTTAGACTAGCGGAAGCAAACCATGTTGCGAAGGTATGTGTGAAGGTATTGACAATAAAGCTGACCTTGACCCTTGCCTTCAGTATTTTGTGTCGGAGAACCGCAGCTTTCTTTCCAACGCCCACAATAGGGCTAAAGCTCCACCTGCTGTAAAACGAATGAAATGATTCGTTCAAGATGTCTATGAAGATTCTCAGTCATCCAGGTCATGGCCAAGGTAAAAAAGTTCTGTTAAGCAACTGGACGTGAATTTTCTAAAAGAAGACGTTTCACCTCTAATTCAAGAGGCTTCTTCAGTTCTAGAAAATTCACGTTCAGTTGCCTAACAGAACTTTTTAAACTATTCGTTCAAGATTCGTTCACGACTCGTTAATTTTACTGTTCGAGGGTCAAGGATCCGAATCAATAAAAAGAGTCGGTCTTCCCATCACTGGCTACAAAGCATGCGACTGAGCCCTTGAGGCGTGTTCACATATGCGACTGCGCAGTGAAAGAAGAACTGCGAGGTAGAATGGACGTGTTCTGAAGTTTTCTCCTACCTATAGTTTTTTCCTACCGAGTTAACTGCGCATGCACACATCGGCCAATTTGCCGCTGCAGACAAGCCATAGTTTTCTACCCCACGGTTAAACAAGATTAGTTTCTTGTAATTTTAATACTTTATATGAGCAGTATGCAGACATGGCCTATGGATGTACTTTTGCGCTAACAAATATATTTATAATTTTATCAGGAAGCCATATTTTATCTCAGTGCTGTTGTGGCAAGCTCCCTGTTCTTTAATGGGTAGTTTAAAGGTCTCCATAAGGTAATGTCGTTTCTAAGAAAGTAAGTCATTTCTTTTTATGTGGGGTCCTAACTCATCTTTATTAACGTACATATTTCTATATTATCTGTTACAGATGAAGTTCCCAGCAGATAATGTTTGGCTGTGTCCTGTGAATGTTACTGCACATTGGATTATTGTGGTCTGTTTCCATAATACTTGATTTCTGATGACTCAGTACAGTACACATTTTCTTTTTTGTTATGTGGACATATTTAAAAATGAAGTCTCTGCTTCAAAAAAATAAGCAGGCTGTGCAAGACTCTGTAAAGTAACCATTAAGCATAGTAAAGGAAGTCCTTATACAGCCTGTTTATTGATATGAAATATGAAATTACTTTACATAAGGTTGTGAACATGACAGAGAAGTTCCTCACTGTAAATGACCCAATTGGAAATGAGGATGTCTACAACAGGAAGATTCTGAAGAACTTGCAGTAATATAAAGAATAATTTGCACAGATTTTCATGAGAGGAAAAAAAAGTTTTAAAACAATAATTTTAATGCTGTAATAGAAACTTCCTGAGGAACAGGTCAAGGGAGGAATCCAAATATGTGTGGACAGTGCATACCAGGGACCACAACACACAGATGGATTTAAGCAGTTGTAGGGTTTTAGTGTGGAAGGTACTATTTTCGCTACAAGCTTATGTTTAAGTTGAAATAAAGTCCTACCCTAAACCCTGAGAGACCAGATATATTAACAGGGATTTTCTCTTTAGCCTCAAATAATGTGCTACCACTCTAAGTACAGTGCAAAGTATGTATTTATAGTGATTTCATGCCTATAGTAATGTGCTACCACTTTGAATAGAGTCAGAAGCACATATTTATAGAGATTATATACCTATAGTTATGTGCTACCACTTTGAATAGAGTCAGAAGCACATATTTATAGAGATTATATACCTATAGTTATGTGCTACCACTTTGAATAGAGTCAGAAGCACGTATTTATAGCGATTTCATGCCTATAGTAATATGTGCTACCACTCTAAACAGAGTCAGAAGCCTGTATTTATTAAGATTTGATGTGTATAATAATGTTGTACCACCCTGAACACAAATGTCAGATATGGCTATAAATTTACGCTACGAGAATGAAAAAACTGTAGGTACGAAAAAACTTCAGCCAAAGCTATAAATGTCTGCTACTGCCCATACCGGATGCTATGGACTGGCCCACCCGTCCCCCAGACCTGAACCCAACTGAGCACATCTGGGACATCATGTCTCGCTCCATCCACCACGTTGCACCACAGACTGTCCAGGAGTAAGTGGATGCTTTACTCCAGGTCCGGGAGGAGATCCCTCAGAAGAACATCCGCCGCCTCATCAGGAGCATGTCCAGGCATTATAGGGAGGTCATATAGGCACGCAGAGGCCACACACACTACTGAGCCTCTTTTTGACTTGTTTTAACCCTTGTGTGGTCCTTCGGGTCCCAATGTCTTTGTGTCTATGTGTGTGTGTGTGTGTGTGTGTGTGAGAGCGTGCGTGAGTATGTGTGTGTGTGTGCTTGTTCCTGTACTGCACGACTTGTGCCAACTTTTCCTCATATTCATTAATACTCATATTCTGGGACAAGATGAAAATCATTGCAAGTACAAACTGCGTGTACAGAAATGCGAAGGACAATGGGAGGGTTAAGGACATTACATCAAAGTTGGATCAGTCTGTAGTGTGTGTTTCCACTTTAGTTTTGAGTGTGACTCCAAATCCAGACCTCCATGAGTTAATACATTTGATTTCCATTGATAGATTTTGTGTGATTGTGTTGTCAGCACATTCAACTATGTGAAGTCCAAAGTATTTAATAAGGATATTTCATTCATTCAGATCCAGGATGTGATCATTTGTTTGTGAAAAATTAGACATTTTCAAAAGGTACAGCTTTTGAACAGTTTATTAAAATCCCTCTTTAGGTTACTCAAGTATATTACAGAATAGGAAGTTTCAAAAAACACTGAATACACTGTGAAATCAGTCAGGAGATACACTGTAATTGTTCCGGGTTGTAAGTCTACTTGTGGTCGCTGTTGATTCTGTTAATACTAATCAGCACAGTCGTTAAATAAGGCATCAGTTTCAAGATCTACATGTTTAAAAGTCACAGGAGACCAACAGCAGCACATGAACACAAAAATACTGTGGTGCTATTGGACCCCACTTAACACCTGCTGCAGTATTTGGAAAAATGGAAATGAAGAAAACTACAATGGGCCGCTGTGTTCCTGATCCTTTCAAAGTAAAAGTCCTACTGTGACAAACAGAGAGAAGGAAGAACCTGAAGTGCTGGGTTTGAGTTTGAGCTACTTAGCTACTGTGCTTCAGCTGATGGAGTGAGGTCCAGTCTGAGTGTTGGGCCGCACCACCGGGAATGGAGTTGTGTTAGAAACAGGACTGTTCAAACTCAACGGCAGGCTTTCATCTGGTCCAGGAACATTTTCTCTCGAATACTCAACATACCACTCCTGAGAAAGCAACATGTCCAGGGATTAATGGGAAAATTAAGAAACCTAACAAACTATAAATCCTGTTACTATAAAGTGTTAATTGTCAACTAGTATAGAAATGAATACCAGCAACACACTCCAAAAAACAAAACAAACAAAAAACAACAACTAATTGCAAAGGGAATTATTTTCTCTTATTTCTGTATGGATACTCTGTGTTTTCCCCTGGATTTACAGCTCTGGGGAATTCGTATTTAATAATACTTTTTAAATATTTGACTGAGTCACTTTGTGACATTGTTGCTAATTTCTAATTTGGCAATCACTCCACCATAATCCAGGATGTTTTTAAATAACCAAAATATTACACTGGCTGAATTTGGGTTGTTCTTCTGAAATACTACTGCAGTTTTCTTGATTAACAATTATCAAATTAACAGTCTGTATTAATATGACAGGTGACAACGAGCTGCACGTGTGAGCTACAGAAGCCCAGATGGACATTAGTTGCTTAGGTGCTGGGGACAAGTTTGATGAGATTGACTGAGACTTGAGCTCAGGTACAAGAGGATGTGACAATATCAACACTTCACGCACTGAAATAAAACTGTTTTGCCAGTTACTGTAAGTAAAAGTTCAATGTAAAGATGAATTTTTAGGAAGTGTAAGAATCAACTTAATACAACCAACCACTACACTCAGGGTTTTTCTTCACTATCTTACCTGCATCTCTTCCTCGTACATCTTCATGCTCAGGTCACTCTTTGTTCTAGATCTGCGGCCCAGGTAAACCAGGGACATGTGCTGTGAAGACCAGAGAAGAAGAACAGAAGCCAGTTAGTTGGATTTGAATGATAAGTAAAAAAAGAAACAAATGTCGTAAATAACAGTTAGTTTGTTTGTGTGTGTGTGTGTACTTACACCAACCCTGTCCATAGATTGTAGAATTCCCTGCAGTGAGCTGAGTGAGGACAGACCCGGACATGTCCGTTTGTACAGCTCTAAAGTGGCCAGAGCTTCTTCTCTGCTCACCTCTACTTCAAACACGATTCCATTCTCATCTATGCGGAAAAATAAAAAAACTCAGTGATTGCTAACATAACGATCCCCACGTCATGTGATAAAACCTACTTTATTCAGCATTTTACCTGAGTACTGTGGGATATATTGTGCAAACAATGAAAAAAAACTGTAGATGCTTTGCATCACATTACTCACAATCCTCCAAAACACAACAGAGACAGACAGGATTCTTACCCTCTGGGTTCTCCAGTGGTTCTCGATTCTTGCGGCTGTAGTTCATTCGAAACACAAATGCATCCAGGATGAAGGCAACGATGATGGTCATTACCACCTAGAGATGCCAACAAGAAAAAATACACACGTCGATGTTTTAAATATAAATCAACTCAGTTTTCCTAGACTTACAGAAACACAAGTCTCACCATAGTTACGATGTAAAAGGTCATAAAATACAATCGACTCCAGTGACTGGTCATGGACGTCACTCCTTCCTGGTAGAAAAAAAGACTAAATCTGTGACATCTAGTGGTCTCTGTCAGGGATTGCAGTGCTGAGACAGACTCAACTATGACTTACCATAGTGATGTACCAGTTATTCACCACAGTCAGTTCAAACAGAGTAACTGAAAAAAAACAAACAAAAAAAACAAACAAAATAAAACAGATATAAAACAACTTCTGTTTGAAAAAGTAAGTACAAATACAGATGACAAAAAACATCTTACTTTTTATGACACTTTATGGACATAACAATTAATTAAATAATCCATGAGTGATTTGATATATCATCAACAAAAATAATGAGGAAGAGATGATTTACCGAAGCTGCTGAGAATGTTGTTGAAGTTATTGAGATAATAGTAGCCTTCTTCCAACACTGTCGTGTTGCCAACAGTGATGTTGATCTGTCTGTAAGAGTCTGCCACTGTGCTAGTGCTGAGAAATGACCAGACAGATACAGTAGTGGATTAAAGTGACCATAATTTAATGTTAGAAATTACAGAGTTAATATCAATATCAATCCATATTCTGGGGCTGCAGTGTGACTCACTTGCAGCAGTTTGGGTAAACCACGTCCGCAAAGAACTCCATTCCTACAATTGCGAAGGAATAGTAGAAGATGATGAGGGTCAGACCCAGACTGGCCATCCTGGGGAAGAGCTCGAACATGGTGTCCAACACGTTACGATACCTCTGCTTTATCTTAAACAACCTGGATCAGAAGGACAGACCATGTTGTACAGTAACCAATCCTCATTTCAACTGTCAAATTTTATCCAACAGCTATGAACTCACCGGAGCAGCTGGAAAGGTCTGAGCACAACAATAAAGTAAAATGGCTCCATGTTGAAGGCAAGAGCAATGAGACCAAGAAAGGCAAACACTGTCACCAAGAAGTCAAACCTGAAAAGGTAAGCAAAGACAAAACAAAACAGTTTGAACTTGAGATGCCACGACAAGTGATCAGTACATTTTAAGCTTTAATTTTTAGCATCAATTTTATTCATCTATAAAAACAAAAGCACTACTCACAGATTCCATCCAGAGCTGAAATAAGCCATTGGTCCCAAACCTGCGATTTTCAGCAGAACCTCAACTCCATAAACTACAAACAGGCAGAGAGAATATATCACGTTACAATTAGGACTGTCAAAAGCAACAAGTAAACCATGCTCATTCATTCACAAAATCAATAAGAGTAAAAATGCTAACACTTTTGAACACACATGACATGCAGTGAATACTGTGTCATATGTCAGTGTGGCTTTTGGGATTCACAGTCCATCTCTGTTTGGATAAAATAATAATCCAAGGTTTGCTTTACATGAACTTGCATCTGTTATCTAGCGTTATCAAATATAATTACTAAGACATTTCTTCTGTAGTTTGAGAACATATATTGACAACATATCACAGTGACTTTCTTTGTTCCTCAGCTCACTCACTGGTCAGGAAAACTATGTAGCTCCAGGGAACAAATCTGGACCAAGAGAATCCACCTGCAGGAAATCAAAGGAGAAACATTATTACTGCACTGCTTTTTTGATTTTCCTGGTCCTGAGGGGTCTTACTCTTTAATGTGTACATCTCCACAAGGATCCACACTCCATTAATGGCCACCACAACATCTGCAGATACAAAAAAAGAAGAAATTATATGTTTTTTTTTATGTGGGGAACAATCTGTCAGTCAGAGGAACAGGAGGACGGAACTTACACATAGCATACTGGAAGGCTTTAGACTTTACCAGCATGTTGATTCCTATTACAGAAAAGAGGTGAGAAAATAAAATAAGGAATGAAGATTTATTTTTCTTACAGAAAAGAGGAAGAGAAATAGAGAAGTTACCTTTGAAAATGAGGAAGGCTGTGTGAGGAAGGTCATCAAACCAATGTTCTCCACTGCGTCTTGCCTAAATATACACATATAGCATATGTTTAAACATTGTATTTTAAATCACAAGGCAACTAAAAATGACAAAAATATAATTCAAATTACCTTCCATTTAAGACCAATGACTTCGTAGAACTTGTAAAAGTCTTGTAGGCTGTGAAGACATGTAAATGTGAAATAACTGCAAAATACTGAGTTGTAGTTAAATGCATGTGTCAGATGCATAAAATACCTTAGCATATGAGCACCTGACGTGTCCAGAGCCTTAAACGTAAGAAAGCGGTCTCTAGCAGACATGCGTGGTCTGTAAAAACGCATCAGGCCGTCAAACTGTTTCAGTGAGACGCCCGTCGGTCTCTGGAGTGGAACAGAACAGCAACACAGACAGGAAGTGTCAACGATAAATGACTAAAATATGTGATAGAACAAGGAGGTGAAACCATACCTGTCGGCTAACCAGTAGCTGAAAGGCGTGATCAATGGCGGAGTGTTTGTGGAGGAGAAGAGATTTAAACTTCATCTTCTCGACATCATTAAACGTGTCAAACACCACGGCCAGGAGCTGCAGGAGAAAAGTGCAGTGAGGAGAAGAAGCAAAAAAAAGGTGACAGATGTTTTATAACTTTTATGTGTGGCTCTAATACCAGGTTCATGATGAAGTACAGTTCTATGGAGAGGTAAACAATGAAGAAGACACAGGACCAGCGATTCTTGGAGTACGCTGGCATCATCACGTCAGGGAAACTGCAACAAAGAAGAACAACCAGAAGAGACAGAGAGAGAGAGCAAGAGAGAGATAGATAGAGAGAGAGAGAGAGAGAGAGCATCATCAAAACAGTAAACACACACACATACTGTATGTAAAGTTAGCACTTTGATCTCTATATGTCTTACTTTGCTGTGGTCAGCAACACAAACAGACTGACGAGGCTGTTCTCCAGGGTGCTGAAGTACTGCAGGGAGTAGAGAGGGTTTCAGTTTGGAAACACAAGCACAACCAATGGAGAAACAGAATGGAAGATATAAATCCCTGAACTCATATAACTCAAAGCAAATACAGGGGTCAACGTACAGGGTCAGCACTGTTTGTGGAGAAAAGGCAGAAACCTGGAGGACAGGAAATGGCAAATTAAACAAGGATTTGCAGATAAGTCAGCAAAAAACATGCATATGTTAACAGTAGCATGTTCTTACCCAGGATGGCAAATATAACCATGAAGAAAAGCAGCAGCAGGAGGATGTCGATGAAGGAGGGAAGGGACTGGAACATCTGACGTAAATTTCTGAGCAATATAAAGTATTTGAATGAAGAACAAACTTCACAGTTATAATCTGTCTGTCATAAGAGTTAATTACATAAAAACAACCCATAAATCACCTGCGAACAGCACCGCAGTATCTACAGTCCACCAGGAATATAGGCCTCAAAGCTCTGGTCACTCGCATGTGAGACGTCTGTCTGATCAGAACCACAATGGCCTCTACGAACTGTAGCAGCAACACGCACGTCTGCACAAAAAAAGACAACATGAGCATGAACTGAATGAACACCAAACAGTGTCACAGAACAGTCGTCTGTAGTAGTAGTCAGTCTCATCTAACTCACCTTCACCATGGTCCTCCTGTGTCGTATGAAGGTATTGAAACCTAACCAGCGCAGTTTCATGCACAGCTCAAATGCCACCATGACCAAAGCCAGCAGCTCCAAAGTGGCATGGACCTGGAGGTGTCACATGTAGATTGCAAGTAAGAAAAATTAACCTATGCATGTGTCCATCAACTGCATGTGTCAACCAAATGAACACAGATGTCGCCCCCAGCCAGGCGTTATTGTGCTCTTTGATCTTTCTCCTTCAAATAAGGTCAAACTTTTAAAATAATGATATTTTGTTCTAGTAAAGAACATAAACATAAACTCTGCAGTTGAACTGCAGTTGCTCGATATTTTCTGGTTTCCTTTTTATTTAAACTGGATAATTTCTTGTCTACAGTTCATGTTGTCCAGGTCTGTGTCCACTCACATAGACGTCCAGGCGCAGCGAGGGAACAGCAGGAGCCTCACACAGTGACAGCATCAGCAGTAGCAGCCCTGTGAGCAGCTCCATCATATAGAACAGGTGGTTGTGTGCAAACAGGTAGGCTGCCAGGGCCTTTGGGTTCCGAGGGTGCGTGAAGAACTTGTCATTGTTCTCCCCTTCCTGTGTGTGAAATGGAACACATGTAGAACAAGCCACATCCTTACAGAGACTAACTAAAATGCAGTGTGTTAAGGTATTCCTTACAGTTCTGATAACAGGATACAATAGAGTTTCACCAATGACCAAAGAAATATTTCACATTTTGTATTTTTAATCTAAGATAAAAATGCATTGTGTCATGTTTATCCTTTTATTTTTTTATTATAACTGTCTCACAAAGTTAAGTACGTATTGATGAGCCAGGAGAAATGGCAACAGTAAGCTCACGTTTGAGGAGTGAGAGAATTTCTGGTGCTGGTTGCCTTCATCAGTAGTTTTTTTAAATATTTGGATAACAATATATATAATATAATAATTATATATTTAATATATTTTATTTATGTATGTGACTATGATTTAAAAAACAGAACATTGGAAACCATGTTTTGACTGTATTAGATTTTTTATTTTATGTCAAAACAAAGCAGTTTTTTCTACTTTTATTTATTAACATAAAAAGGTAATGATTGTAAAGGAAAGGTAAAATAACTTTACAATAAATTTGCATGTGTGTTAATTGCAATAAAAATGTCATAGTATTTTTATTTTTGTGAAGCTCCCCAGTAAAAAACATCAAACACCTAACTGCCTTACTAACAAGAGTTGTTGATGATAACAGTGATCTTTATTGTTATAAATAATATTGTTATTATTCTCTGCACTGTCTTTTCTGGAGTAGTATTTTCACGTGTTTGTGTTTAAAACACTGTAAATACACCTCCTTAGCATATTACAATTACTCTTTCACTGTCTAACAATATTTTGATTTTTACTAATCAAAATAATTAAATATATACAGTATATATAAATATATACTTTGATGTGAGACATGCTTTGTGTTAAATACAATACATAGGAACTCAATGTAGTGAGGACAGCCCCTCACACTATAAATAGATATTAATATATAACTTCCTGCAGCCAAAAGTGATTTAAAAACAGCAAATTTAAGAATCATTAAGTTTAATCATCTACTAGTGAGTGTTAAACGCTGAGTGTTAAAAAAAAGTGTCATATGACCACGTAAACTGAGCTGTAGTTTATGTGTACCTGTAGATAAATGGCTGCCTCTTGGTAGTTCATCTCCCAGCTCTGTCGGAGTGACACATTGTGGGTTCTGTAGTTGTGTGGTCCTGGTGTGGAGACAACAGCACTGTTCACTATGTCATAGTTCCCTTCACCTCCATCTGGAAGGAAACACATTAGTGTTAATGTCTTTTATTTACATGTTTGTCTGTAAGTTTTTTTTCCATCTGATCTTTATATGGAACTGACTACAGTAACTATAAAATGTGGGCTATACATGAGTGTACCCCTACCAATTCTACCCAGTTCTAACTCAGAGACGTAGGAGGAGATTACGACAGGACTCTCATTATGAGCATGATCGTCATATGCTGCATGGCTACAAACACACTCCATCGATCTGCTCGCTTTGTGTCCCTGTTTATTGAGTATTGACACATCAAGAGTTTCTTTGCACATGTGTCCGCATCAATCACAGGACACAGGTCTCCTTCCACATCTGCAGATACAGATGGCCAAACATTCCACTCAGGCCTGATGCTAGTTCCAGAAATGCAGGGAATTCCTGATACACATCCACACAGATCCACAAAAATCCAGACAGAGATGCAGAGAGTCACAATGGAGACAGAAGTCCACTCAAAGTGAGAGACAGTGCTGAATACGCTGAGTGTGTTTGTAATAAGTTGTCTCTTCTTCTAGTCCAGACGTCCCGTCTCCAGTCCCATTGATAAAAGATACTACATAAGGCAGAAGATGTACAAATGTGACTGAAGCGCTGTGACAATCGTCCTGCCTCCGAGAGCAGAGTATGTATTTTGAACCCAGCACTGTATGGCAGTAAGAAAGTGCCGTGTTTGCATTGATGTCATACTGTCTGCTATGACTACTTCCTGCTAAAATCAGGACATAGACACATGACACAGACTACAGAAGGAGTGAGGTATATGTCTCCTACACCTGAAATTAATAAAAAAATATTACAGTAAAAGATTAATTAGTAAAAGAGTAAAAGATCTTCACATACACAAAACATCACGTTTGTGCTTCAGGCAGGAGTCCTGCAGATCGTATGGTCCCCAGAAAAACAGTCACTGGCCTTTGTTTCTGTTCAGCACGGTAGCCACAGATCTAGGATGAATATCAAGTTCCAGAGCAGTGGCAGCCTGGCTGTTACTCTGACAGAGAGACACACCTTGGCTGCACTGTGCCATTCTGACCTGTCATTTGTCTGAGAACAATAATGTGTGTGGAGCTTACACTCAACATGTTTTTAGACTCACAGACACACAGGTGCAAATGTTGTGCTTGGAAAAAATTAAGTAAGTAAATCCAGTGGTCATTTCAAATATTCTCGCCAGCATCCAATCATATTACCAAAATCTCTTAGATTTCAGAAATATAAAGTAAAAAATACAGCTCTTCTTTAGTGTCCAAGCTCAAACTATTCTGTCCAGAAAGCTCCAATGCAGGAGTTTTTAGTAACTTCATCTTTGTCCACTGCTCCTAGATACATTGAGGGGAAACCCTCCGTTGTGCTTCCTGTTCACCTCCACAGCAGGAGAAAATGATCCAACATGCACCCACACAGCCAGCGCGATACGCACTGACTGCGAACGTTCACACACAGGCACACAGACACACAGACACACGCACACACAAACGGCACATGAACAGCAGGGAGGGGCTGAGGGTTGCACCCCTGCTGAGGCAGCAGTTTGCCAGGTGGGTCATTTTTTGTCACTTATATGTGACAAAGACAGCAGGACTGTGATGGTGGATGCATACATACTGTATGTGTGCGCATGCATACATTGGGCAAGCACAAGAGACATACACACATATACACACGCACGTGACCACATTCTGCTAGAGCGATGTGACCCGTCTGTGAACCTGCAATAAACAGCAAAAACACACAAACTGGTAACTCATTGGTCACCCATTCAATGTCAACATAATTTTGTGCAACAAGGTAAATTTGAGAATTATCTAAGATGAGAATGTAGATGATTTTTGTTAATCACGAAACTATAAGGACGTGCACCCCCGCAGAACACAAGACACTCAGCATGCCCAGACAGGAGTGCTGGGTCTCTGTTACGGTGATCGAATATGTCTATAATGAGGTGCAATTTAAATCCAGTGAACACATGCTTACTCTCGTCTCCTCTCTCCGTCTCCTCATTCAGCAGACCGCTGTTTGCTTCATCACAGGTTAAGATAAGTGGGACATCATCATCAGGATCCATTCCAGCTGAGCGAAAAAAAAAGTTCAACAGCTGGAGAGCATATGAATAATTAGCTCACGCTAAAAACACTTAGCCTTTCCACTGGTTGTTCTGCAGAACACAACAGAGCCGCGCATCATGGTTATTTACAGATAAAGCATTAGCCTCTGAGCAGTTGTTATGGTAACGCGACTTAAAAGCAAACTTACAAACAAGAGGAAGTAACGCTCGAATCGTAAAATTGACACTTTGCAGCAGGGAATGCCTACTAATTTAACGACAACCGCTCAAAAACGACAGACAGGTCACTGAAGCTAACAAGCTGGGGCAGTCCGCCCGTGTCCATCACAACGCAGCCACTACAACTAACAATGTTTACTAAATAACAGCCCCCAAGCAACGGATTCCGCTAACTTTCGGTTGCGACACTTTGCTGAGGCTAATGTTGTGTACGCCCGCAGTCACTGAACTACTAACGCCCCCCCCCAAAAAAGAGAAGCTGCAGGGACACGGGGACAGTACCGCTACATCAACAAACATTTACGGCACCACTATGATTTACGGTAACGTCAGTGTTAAGCGTTCCTGTGTAATTTCCAAATTAAAAGTCGCTCATAATGTTGTACACTCCCTATACCATTTCCATAATTTAAAAAAACTGTCATTTAATAAGGATATGTATTACCATGTGTGCTATTGTATTGTAGCTTCTTGTTGTAAAGATGCTGTGTCAATACGTACAATTATTTTTTCAATTATTTTATTTGCGTTTAGACATTACTTAGCAACAGCAAAATAAAAACTTCCGGCTACGGTCTGAGCAGGGCAGGTATGCAACGTTCACATTTTCACTTTAGCTAAAAATGACAACATAAAATAAATATATATTTAAAAAGGCTGAAATAACTACAGCTTGCATCTACAAGTTAGTTTAATTATTTTCCAATCTTTAGGGTTTTTGACATATTTGTGGTTACTTTGAGCCTATTCGATAAATGTTTCTGAATTTCTAGATGCCTGTGCTATTTTAATTTACCCTGACACACTAGCAATTATTTGTAGCTCCTATTGCTTTTGAAAGCCCTCAGTACTCAGTTTGTACATTTATAATAAATGTATGCCCTATTTTAACTGTGCTATACGTTTGTTGCACAGTATGTCTGCCAAAGGGACAACAGTTGTTGCAGCAACTAAGGCTAATACCAAGCTGGTGGATATTATAAAGAAAAATGATTTGCCACAGAAAAAACTGCTCTCTGTTGAGGCTCAGCGAATCTCACGCATACTGCAAAACTGCATCAATCAAATCAAGATAGTGGCAACACTGCCTGCTCTTCTCAGCTCATGCGGTGATTCTGTAGACTTGGATGAAAAGCTGATGAGGGATCTGAAAAAACATCAACTTTTGTCTGAAAAATTGGAGAGGGAGATACTAGAAAATGACAACCAAGAATCAGGTGAAGATATTGAAGTCAAAAAGAGGGCGCGGGTTCAGCTTGAGAAGGACGTCAAGAACTCTGTCAGGGATCTGCTTAGGTTTTTACGCTCATACCCAGATGACCTTTTATTTCTTAGAGCAGAGCAATACACAGGGGAGAATGAGGGCAAGTTAATCAAAGGGCTTCAGAAGTTTCACAGTAATACAGTTGACAAGTTGCTGATGGGTCTGGACGAGGAGTCCACAATGGTTTTGCACAAGCTGGCATTTCCATCCACTGCAGATGATCTAGAAGTTTTGGCGTCAAGGGAGAAGGAAGTTGCTACAGCCAAGAAGCAAATAGATGAAAAGGTGAGAAAATAATGAAACTGCAAAATACAGGAAATAAAGCAGGTAGAGCAGGTGAATCTCATCTCACTTTTCCTCTCCTGCCTTTTTTGTCACAGATTGCTGAGAAAAACACTGAAATGAAAATCTTGGAGCAGGTAACATTTACAGCACTAAGAGCAGACAAGAAATTTCAGCCACAAGTCACCACGTCTACAACTCAGGCTCGTTTGCAGCAAGAAATTGAACAAATGAAAATGAAGCTCAACAATTTGGTACTTGAGAACAGACAGGCAGAGCGGATTTTGCAAGAAGTAAGTTACTGGTTACAAACACTATGTATTTTTCTATAATGCTATTACTAATATCAGTGTGTATGTGTATGTTTTTCTACTGGTGTAGGAAAATGAAAAAGTTGAGTCAGAGATTGAATACTTGCTCCAAAAGTTTGACAGCAACATGAAAGAAATTCAGGTACAAACGAATGGCAACATTAGTTTTGTAAAAACTTGAGTGAAGTTTAGCTATATTTGTTTGTTATTTGTTAATTCCACTAGACAGGGAATTTGAGGAATGTTTTTTTTTTTCAACTACGCTTTACTTTCAGGCTGATCTTGAGATTAATGAAATTGATTATAGAAGAGAGGAAGATGAGCTGAGAAGCCTTGAGAAACCATTTCATGCCTTAGAAGAGGAGTACAACCAGATTGTGGAGAAGCATCGTCTGGCAGAACATCAAAGAGTGAAGGAGATGCAGGAGCTGGAGCTAAAGACCAAAGCTGCAATTTTGGCCCAGTCCTGGTGGAGAGGCTACAAAACTCGAAAAGCCTTAAAAAATAAGGGCAAAAGCAAAAAGGCCAAAAAAGGCAAAGGCAAGAAGAAATAAGACATAGATGTAATTGATCAACTAAGGCATTGTTGTGCTAAACAAATGATTTACTGTGCCTGCCATGTTTTGTTAACTAGTAAAATCTCCTACGTAATATACTTGTATTTCTTTGAAGGAAAACTGTTTCACAATACATATTTTACACATTTGATATACTGAAACCTGCAGTATTTATGAAGAACAAAAAAATATAGAAAAAATATATAAATGTGTTCTTAGTAGAATTAAATTTGTATTTATTTAAAAATAACCAAAAGGAAATAATTATACAAATGTACAAATGTGTCAACTTCTGTGAGCCAAATTATAATACACACATTTTTTACACACGTTTTTTAGGGCATAAACTTACATTTTGAATTATTTCTGGGACTTTTTTTTAACAATTTTTCACAATAGTAAGACTATAGTCTTCCTTGTTTTTGGTCATATTTTAACATGTTCAGATAGAAGTTTTTTTGGTTGTTTTTAACTTAGATAGTTATTTACTTGACAGCATGTTTTGGGGCATAAACTTGCATTTTGAGGAATGTCTGGGATTTCCTATTTTTTAGTATTTTTTCAAATAGTAGGACTATAGTCTTGCTTGTTTTTGGTCATATTAGTTTTTAGCACACATTCTATGGGCAGCATGTGTTTGGGCATAAACCTCCATTTTGAAGCATTTCTGGTTGTTGAAAAGAGAGAGTGGGAGATAATCTACAACCTGACGAAAATCCTGGAACAACAAGAAGTTAGAAAGGATGGGCGACATCATTTACAACTACGGAGAGAAATGCTTTGGAGTAAACAAAGGAAAGCAATAAAACAATGCCAGAATCAACCAAATCCAGGAAGCAGCAAGAGATTGAAAGACTGGTCAGAGAGAGAAGGCAGCTGAGAAACCAATGGAGGAAAGACTCTGACGCAGTTAGAGATGGACTTAATCTACTCCAGGAGGACATCAAATGCCGGTTGACAAGCTTACGAAGAGCAGAAAACGTGAGGAAACTTCACAAGAAGGAACACACAAGAACACAGTTCTACAAAATCCTTAGAAGGATTTGATAAAGACAAAAGCGGAACCTTGAAAACTCCAAAGCAGGAGCTGAAGTAACATCTATAAAAGGTCCACCAATATTTGATCGTCAGAGCAACCTATGATGTGCTCCCATCTCCAAAAACCTGCATGTGTGGCACAGTGAGGACCTAACTTGCAACCTCTGTCATATTCCAGCAACTCTCAAACACATCTTGACCTGTTGCAAGACCAGCATCACCCAAGGCCGCTACACCTGGAGGCACAACCAGGTGCTCAAGAGCTTGGCAGCCGCAATTGAGAGTTAAAGCAATGGAATGCCACAAATCCCTTGCCGCTGAGAGCAACCAACCTCAAAGCACCAGCATTCATCCGAGAGGGACAGAAAAAGCCCGGCTATCCCAATAAAATACCAGATGCTGCTGGCCACCTAGCACTGGTATGGGAATGGAAGATGCTAGCTGATATCGGCCAATAGCTAATCTTCCCCCTAGAGATTTCAGCAACCACCCTTAGACCAGACGTAGTACTCTAAAGTCAAAAAGTCTGTTATATAGACAGGTGTGTGCCTTTCCTAATCAAGTCCAATCAGTTTAATTAAACACAGCTGGACTCCAATGAGGGAGTAGAACCATCTCAAGGAGGATCAGAAGAAATGGACAGCATGTGAGTTAAATATGAGTGTCACAGCAAAGGGTCTGAATACTTATGACCATGTGATATTTCAGTTTTTTTTTTTTAATACATTTGCTAAGATTTCTACATTTCTGTTTTTTCTGTCAAGATGTGGTGCTGAGTGTACATTAATGAGAAATAAAATGAACTTTTTTTATTTTAGCAAATGACAAATTTAAAGGGGTCTGAATACTTTCCGTACCCACTATATATATATTATTATATATTTATATTGTATATATACATTTTTTGAGGGGGTTAGCTAACTAGCTAGCTACATCGTCCCGGTAGCGCGCACGAAGCGTTCCGTTAACCCAGGGGTTGGGAACCTTTTCAGCAGAGAGAGCCAACAAGTCACCTATGTATTTGAATTTTAAATGTAAGAGTCATACAATTTATTTTTACTCTGAATACACCTAATTTTTTAAAACACACCAAAAATTTCAGAATTTAATACGTTTCTGTAGTATTAAAAAAGTTATTACGTTTTTCTTTTTTAAATTAATAACGTTGTTATACGATCCATACATAAAATACCATTAATGCAACTTCTAGTGCTGCATGGTGTTAATGCGATTGTCTAATCTAGGGCAAAAACCCTAATGTATGGATTAAAATGTGTATGTTTTAAATATATGGTTCTACTTGACATACAAAAGAGTTTAATACACATCAGTGATGTCTTTCGCAAGTGAATCGTTCATTTTGAACGAATCACGCGTGACTCGTGACTCCCGAGTCACATGAAAGATTTGTGACTCGTGACTCCCGAGTCACATGAAAGATTTGTGACTCGTGACTCCCGAGTCATATGAAATATTTATTCATATTGAACTCACGAATCACACTCTGCGAACTCTTTCACTGTAAACTAATCTTTCACTACGAACGAATGACTCTCTGCAAACTAATCTATGGCTGTGAACTAATCTTTCACTGTGAACTAATCTTTCGCTGTAAACTAAACACTATGAACGAATCACTCTTTGTGAAGTAATCTTTCGCTTCGTTCTCGCAGATTCGTTTCATTTGTCACGTGACAGAGAGCTCGGGTCTCTTTTGCTCTCATCCCATCTTCACATTGTGGTATGTTTTTCTTTCTTAGGTTTTCACATGGTGATTTGTTCGTAGTGAAAGATTAGTTCGCAGTGAAAGTTTAGTTCGCAGAGAGTGATTTGTTCGCAGTGAGTGATTCGTTTGCAATGAGTGATTAATTCGCAGTGGAAGATTAGTTCGCAGAGAGCGATTTGTGAGTGATTCGTGAGTCCAATATGAACAAATCTTTCATATGACTCGGGAGTCACGAGTCATATGAAAGATTCGTTCATATTGGACGAATCACTCGCGAACGACACATCACTAGTGCACATGTTAGAAGTTCCGTCATTAATTAATTAGATTATATTAATTTTATCATTAACTGTGCTGTTATTTACTTTATATTTCCAGTGTCTGACTTATCAGATGCAACAGTGATCGCTCGGACGGACGGATCGGTAGGACGAGAACCCATGCTGAACGGAAATCGGCAAAAAAGTTGAGCATTTCTAATAAATGTTGGTACTATCAAATAAAATATTAGACACAAGGATACTGTGCAGTTAAACTGTAGTTTTGTTGTTCCACATAATCATGATAATGGTGATAGGTATCGTTTCTAGATGTCTGATGTTTTTTCTGTATTTAAGATGGTGAAAGAGGTTCTCCAGGCTAAACACGGGGGACAGGTTATTTTGGATGAATACGATCGGATGAAAACGGATAGCACAAGGAGACTGATGGTAAACCTTCTTGTGGCCAACATGGTTGAAATACATGGGTAAGACTTCAATGTTCATATTTTTACATAATACAGAATTAAATATAAATAAATACAAATAAGTTTAAATAGAGCACACACATTTTAGGAGATTGCAAATTATTAAAGCAATTTATTATTTAATTTCTCCCATGACAGAAATCATTATTAAAGGGCTAAAACATACAAAAACTATCAATTTGATAGAGACTAAAACTCACTGAAGCTTTGTTAGGTTTATTCTAACATATGTGACGACAAAGTAACAACACTAAAGACGTCTGGATCTTTTTCTTGCAAGGGGAGAGTGCAGCTTACTCTTCTAGCAGCTTCCTCATCAACTCCGAGTATCCACACCCTTCCTCTGCACTTTTATTGAGTTTATAAAAGGATCAGATTACATATCATGTGATCGTGTGTGAGTATATGAATGGGTATGGAGTAAGAAGGTGGGTGTGAATGTGGGTGTGGCTGTGTCTGGTCATTTCTCCATCAGTCTTGAGCACACTAGATTATGATATGAGAAGCAAACAGTTTCTTAAAGCGACAGTACAGCATGAAGCAATGATAATAAATTAAATTCTTTCAACAAGCTTGCAACAATAAAATATTTTATGCTTCAGGAATTTTAGTGGCAATGTCATGTTTGTCTTTCAGGAAGAGCCCACCAGTCTCTGTGCGAACCAGATATGCTTTCGACATTATCGCTCTATTTCCCAGCCTCAGAGAGCCATACTCAGACAAAGGATATGTACGTTTGTAAATTGGTTATATTTTAGTTCATCGAGTCATTATGTGTTCGGAAATTGCTCTATAATCATTTTTAATATTACAGGAACACTTGGCCTGGCTACTTGGCCTGGAGGATAAAGACTGTTCAACTGAACACTGCAGCTCATTCCCTAGACCCTCCACCAATAACAAGATAGTCCCAAGAGTAAGAGGGAGTCTCTTTGCACTGATATGCAACTGCTTGGTGACCACTGTCTTGAGGCCATATCCTTCTTGAAACATTCAACTGATGAAGCGGCAGTCAAAGAGAAGATGAGGGCCAGATTTCAGTATCGCCAAAAACTGGTTCAAGATCAGCACTGTTCTTCAACAGTCTTGGATGTCTTTCCACGATACCTAGACATCACTAGCTTGGTAAGAAATACAACGCTTTTTAAAAAATGAATTGTCACTTAATCTCAAAAATACATGCTAATGTTGCATAAGTATAAACATGTGTGTTATTCTGTAGATTGACCAAGACTTTACCATGATGTTTGGAGAGGATGTGTCGGGCAGATTTTTGGCAAAATGGCTTACTTTATTCATACCTAGGATCCTGAAACACATGCAAAAAAATGACCTCATATCAGCACATTGATGAGCTCTTGTCTGTGCAGCATGACTCAGGTGGGTGTGGTTTGCTTTGTTCATTGTTGAAAGGTTCTTGCAATATTTCGATCTGGGTCACAGCACTAGTTGAAAGATTATTGGTATAATCAATTTGGTTCACGGCCCTTCTTCGTTTGTGAGCACGACACCAATTGGAGGATTTCTTCTCCCCGTAGTAAACCAGCCACTAGAGTACACAAATCAGTGTTTTATAGTGCCGTTCCCGAGCCTGGATAAATGGGGAGGGTTGTGTCAGGAAGGACATCCGGTGTAAAACCTTTGCCATATCAAAGAATGCAAATTAAAACATTTTCCATACCGGATCGGTCGGGGCCCGGGTCAAAAATGACCGCCAACAGTGCTGTTGACCTACAGGGTACTGGTGGAAATTGGACTACTGTTGGAAGTACTGTCGAAGACAGAAGAAGAGGAGGGCGTTTGGATAGGAGAAAAAAAGGAAAGAGGAAGGATAGAAGTGTTG